AATGTACCGCTGACGAAGCTGATTTGTGGGTTGAGGAAGGAAGAAACTCCTCGAAACTTCAGAAGCCGTTCATATAACGTTCCACATTTCATTTTTAGAAACAAGATCATTCAAAACATAGCATTACAAATGTGGCCTTTTTGCCCATCTAGCCAGTTTGGTAGTTGGCAGCTAATTGATCTAAGCATCCCATTCACCTGTTCCTTGACAGAAACCTGACTATGAGTTTTCAGCACTTGGCTATGTAGCTTCTTCCATACTCTCACAGCCCTTTGGGTAAGGAAGTGCCTCCTGGTCTCAGTTTTAGCTGCACTTACATTTCGTTTCCACTTGTGTCCTCTGGTTTGTGTTTCACACTGTCCGTTTTAAAGAAATGTGCAGGGCTGGGTTTGTCTGAATTCTGGTATCAGGTCCCCTCAGAATGTTTTCTGTTCAGGGCTAAAATGGTAGTGCCTCTGGCCTCTGGCCTCTGGTGTAGCACATTCTCTTAAGTCCTGAATGTATCTGGTCGCTCTTCTCTTTTTCCACAGCAGCAAAATCTTTGGTGACTTAAACTGTGTATAATATTCAAAATGAGGTCGTACTGGTGCATTAAACAATTTTCACATAACATACCTTATATATTTTGTTTGCCTTTTTTATTGCTTGTCCAAATTGTCTAGAAGATGTAACGGAGGTACCCAACATAGGCACGTTTCTTTCACAACCAGCTTCTTCTATCTCAGAGTTTTCCTTTTTATATTTATAGTTTTTTTACTACCTTGTCATCTGCCTGGTGTTTGCCTTATCTCTACTATCTACGCCTTTTTGAATTTCATTTGTTGTTCCTACAGTGTTCGCTAATCCACCTAATTTGACATTGTGTAAATGTGATTAGCTTTCAAACCATACTAGGATCTAGATGATTGTTAGATACTTAATACTCCTTGAGAAAGGCAAAACAGAATCTGACCTTTTAAGGAATCTGATTGTAAATGTGTTAATTTAAACTTTAATTTTTCAAAGAGATCTCAAAGGAATGTAATTCCTTAATGAAATAGCTTAGCTGTAGGAAGAAGGGCACATTCCAATAATACTGTACCTTTTCCCACACGGAACAGGTCCCACCTCCTCCACCAGTGAAGTGTGATACTCACCTATCTGCCCAGCCATTAAGGGCCAGCAGGCCTACTACCAAACCGCTCAGGCACAGAAGAGAGGTCGCCAAACCTGAACTAAGGGGAAACAGTAGACACACACATTGTACAAACCCAGAACAGAGTTTATCCAGGACACCAGCATTAACACCTCTACTTTTTCAAAAAGTATCTTGTGATCTTTAATGACCCAGTGGTAAAGACCTCTGCCTAACATCTCATTTAAAGGATGGTGCCTCCTACACCCCAGTATTCCTGGTCACTATACTCATATTCAAGCACTAGTATGAACGTCCTTGTCTGGAGGGAAGGGTTTCACCTACTGGTCCACTGACTCCACCTCTCCCATTCCAGTACTGACTAGACCAAGTCTTGCTCAGCTTCTGAGATCTGACAAGAGTAGGGTACAAGGTGGAAACATTGCACTTGTTTTACTATAGAGCTCAGGGCTATTGATAAATGCAAGGAAAGACCATGAAGTTTAATAATGAAAAAATAAATTCAGCTGGGTTGATCGCATTCTCTTCCAAAACATCTCCGTCTCCCACAAGATGGTTGTCTTCTCCCGGTCTAGCTCCTCTACTGTACTCAGAGCAAACAAATTCCAAAAGATGAAGTAAATAAAAGACAAAAGAAAATATAAAAGACTATAAAATCTTGTTTTCAGTACACGTTTGTGGC